GAAATTAAAAAAATATAAAATTGCTTCATTAAAAAACCTTACTTTTATTTGACATTTTTATGAAGTAATAAAAATCAACAACAAAATCAAAGTATGGAATGAGACAAATAGGGTTTTATAGCAAAAAGCACTTATTAATATGATGAACAAAGAACTTTATGTTGCAAATAAAAAAGACACATAATATAATTTATAAAGAATTATTTTAATATTTTTAAACTGGTCAATTAATATTTTATTTATTTATTATATTAATATAAATTATTTATTTATGATTAAATTTATTTTTTAAAAATATTAAAAAATTTGATTAATTTTTTAAAAATCACAAAATTATATATATTGTGCAACTTTATCAACTCAAAACGTAGATATATGGATATATAAAAGTATATGTGTGTATGTGTGCATGTGTGTATTTGTCTATAGTTGTACTTTTGTGTGTTATAAACCAAAATAATTTCTCAATATACATGTATAAAGTTTTAAAAGTACTATTTGAAATTTTACTTATAGTATTATGATAGATGCTATTATTTTTTTGATATGAATAATCATGTAGAATTAAGTTGAAACATGTCAAGTAGATAACATCATTCTTAAGAAATATTAAAAAATATTTATTGATTCAAAATGCATCTTTAGATTCTTCTACATATGTCATGTGTCCATAGTAACATGTCGTATAAGTTTTAATATTTTTTTAAAGTTGCTTTAGAAGCAATCCACAACTTAGATGCTTGTGGTATTAGCTTCATGGTTCTTAAGAAGCTTCTAAAAATAAGTTCTTAATAGTTGGTATATATACAAAGGCAAAATAAATTACATCTTCAATCTTGTTAATATTATTTTTATATTTTGGTCTTGATTCAAGATTCTTTAATTTATTTATAATTAGTAATAATAATTTAAGTTTTTATATATATATATATATATGTAGATAGATAGATAGATATAAGTTTCTTATCTTTATTTCTTTTTAATGATATATCATTATATTATATTTTAAGATATTTTTTTAGTTTATATTATTGATAAATAGTGCAATTTTACCAAGAACAAAAAAAATGATATATCAAAGGTAGTAGATCTAATAACATCAATAAAAAATTCCCTAAAATTAAAAAATAAAAGATAAAAAATAAGAATCAAGCTTTTGACTTTATAAAAAAGTAAAGATATCATAATAGTGAAGGTTTTATATGTCAATAAAAATATTATTACTTAAAAATATTTTTTAAATATAAATTTAAAATACTATAGATTCATAAAAAATTGGTCTCTATTTGGAGTTTCTAATTAATAGTAAATATAGAATCAAAATAATGTACATGCATCTTTAGCAATAATATGATATAACCAAGATATGCCATTCGTCCTTTTACTATATAGACAAACCTCCCCCTTCATACCATATACTCTTGCATAAATACAATAAAATTCTTATTTACATTAAAAATATTTAGAAAAAAATTATGGTAAAATATTTATTTCGAATGGCTTATGACATTCTTATTATATTTTATTTTATTACTTTGAAAAAAATTACTTTTTTTAACACATTATTTTTTTATGCTTTTTAAAAAATATATTAACTTTATGTAAAAATTTCTTTTAATATAAATGTGCTTTAAAAAATTTTAGTATAAATAAGAGTTTTACTATATGTATATGGAAGTGTATGGATATCTACATAATAAAAGGAGAGTGTTTATCTTCCAATTTCTTAAAATGATGAATATATATGCATAGAATAAAGAAAAATTATGTAGGAATATACATTAAAAAATCCAAAAAAATAATCAAATTCAATCCAATTTCTTTAAGCAATAGAATAAATTTTAGATGGTCTATGGTAGCATAGAAAATAATAAATAAACAAAAGTAGTCAGACTAGATGAAAGACTATAATTTCTTATGGTTATGAGACAATTTACAATATATCCATCTTTTTAGTACTTTGCAAAACTATTTTTAAATTTGACCTTGCAAATAAATATTGACCAATCGATTATCATCTAGAACAGAAGAAATCCTCTCTTAAATAATGTTTTTTACATTTTAGATAATAAATATGTATCAAAGACTCTTCTATGTAGCACAAATGGTTCACATTATTAAAGGGGTATCAAATTTAAACCTAAATAATATTTAGCTTTGGTTATTTTATGTTAAATTATCTAACCACATTATCTTGTTTTTGAATGTTGTATCTTTTTTTGAACCACAAATATAAGTAGGCACATTGAATTTAATTTTGATAGATTACATTCTACTATCAAGTGGCACATTGAATATTTGTTTTGGTATAATTTTATTCTGAAATTGTGCTATTTTATGCCCTAGAAATAGGATTTTGAGACTGCCAAACCATGTATTTGCTTGTATTTTCTATAGATCTTCCTCATTTGTGTCAAGAATAATAAAAAATAAAAAATAAAAAAATCTTTTACCAAACAGTGATATTGTGATGACAAGAGGCATGTCAAGAAAAACGATTGATAGATATGCAAAGATCTAATATAAAGAAGCTAATGATGAAAAATAAATTAAAGGAAAACTTCATCTCTTAACCAGCACTTTATCAACTTTCTTGTGCTGGACTTCATTAACACAACCAAGGTTTTGCAGATCAGAGAATGATTAATCCTCTTCCCACATTACATGCCATGCCTCCTGTTCTTCGAAGATGATAATTGTGGGGGCACTGAATATAGCTGGAGCCCAAATTGTTTAATCAAACTGCAATTTCATGATCAGTCTCATAGTTTCTGTTTGTTCCTTCTTGTTTTCTCTCCCTCCCTCCCCCTTTTCGATATCTCCATAGAATGGCTTCATGAGATACTCTCAGTACAAAAAAGGGAATGTAGAATGATGGCCAGGTTGTATACCAGTACCTTCCAGGTGCCATTGCAGTACAATTGCAGAGTATTTGTCTTCAGGATATCCCTTTGACCACTTTGGAACCACAGCACTTTCACTGTCCTCTCTCTGCTGTCCCTTTGCCCCTTCGCCCTTTTCTTCCCCCTTCCTCTGTCAGCTGCAAGCAAAATCCAGTTGAATTTGAATTGTCTTCTCTGCAGGATGGAAAGCAGTGATGGAAGAAGATTTCATGATTCAGCCTGTTGGATGAGACAAAATAAACAAATATAACCCGGCACTCACAATCAAATGGAGAGACAGTCACCCAGCTATGTTGAAAACTGCCACAGTACATACATACACACCTATAACTGAATACCTCATTTAGCATCACACTCTCTACAAACAATTCACTTTTACAGCATAATGTCAAATCTTCACGAATGTCTGATTCGTTTGCAGTAGAAAAAGGAGATAACTCAGGAGACAGATAGAATGCACTTTCTATTTCCAGACGGTGGCCTTTTAGTAGGCAGCTGAGGCACCATCCATTAGATTCAAGCATGCAATACAAGGCAATCTCTCATCATCCCTGTCTCTCTCTAGATATATATATATATATATATATACACACACACAAGTATAAATCCCAACCCTGCCAACTTGTCACCAGATTAGATTAGAAAGCAAGAGGTTTCCTTCTAAAAGATGATTTGACAAACAGTGGCATGACCAGTAGAAGGCTCACAACCATGGAACCCAATGTGTGTAAATCCAAAATTGGGTCTCTTGAAGTCCTACCAGTGTACCTTGCACTCCCAGCACAATTGGTCAAAAGACATCTCAACAGTAGTAAAAACATAAATGAAGATACAGCATCTGACACTCCCAATCATTATGAACCAGAGGTTTTTTCCTCATAAAACTCCACAAAGCCATGCCCTAATTGCTCTTTAAGAATCTTTAACTGAACTCCAACTAAAAAGCCCCAATTTTCTTAGCACATGGACCGCCTTGTCAAACACTTTAATACCCCACTAACCAGTTACAATTGGACACGACTTCCTGCTACAAATCATGAGCATTAAGCTTCTTTCTGGCAGGAACAGGGCAAAGGCTGATAACCCAGCATTCAAGGGAATGAACAGACCTGGAGTCACAGAGTTGAGATGGGTCTTGGTCAGCTGAGGGTTGCATTTTGGCATTAACATGCAGCCTCTTGCAGGGGCTTGCTAGGGCTGTTGGAGCACCGGCACAGCAGTTGTGGACCAGGAGGCACCCCTGTGACACACCACAAGCCTGAGAGAGCACATGGTGTGCACCCCGGGACATGATGTGTGTAAGAGTAGAGGCACGAGGAGTCCACAACATGCACAGTTCTAACTTATTCTCAGGGTCACAGATCATGAGAGCAATAGGGTTATTAGGGGGGGGCGGGTGGTTGGGTAGCCTGTGCCATCGATTGGAGTTTCCTAATGGCGGTGGAGACAGAAAGCGTTCTGCCAGGCTTCAATTCTCATTCATCGTTTTGAAGCAGCAGAAGCCTGTCAAGTAATCACGCAAGACAAGTATCTGGGTAGTTAAAACAGATGCAGTTCAGCAGACATCGGGGTCTGACATGGACTGTAGACGCGATGCAACTGTTCCAGTACATTTATCTAATAAAAGGGCGTTTTACTTCCGCCTAAGTGGATGTATTTTATTTCATCTTGACAGTAAGTAGAGTGAAAGGAAACAGTGACATGGTCCAAGGTCAATGAAGTTTATAGATTGGTTCCACGACTATCTTGAAGTAATCGTTATGTGTTTGCTCGACTTGTATTGATTGTTAGTAAACATGTGCAAGCACAGAAGATAGCCGCTTTTCTTTAAAGTTTATCTGTTATATCCGCTTTCTTAACAACACCTACGTAGCGTCTCTGTGGAAGCATCCTAGCTGATTTTGGTAGAGGCCGTGCCACAGTCATGGTTTGGGGAACAAAATGATCTGGTCACGTTAGCTGAGTCGTTTCTACCAAAGCGATGGCAAGGAGATCATTCTTCGACTCAAGACCTTCAGTATTTGATGTACGGCAACAGATGCTCAACAGCTGAGAATCTAAGTTCACAAGGAACAGAAACATCAGAGCCTGAAAAGGTTTTTTTTAACATGCGCAATATCGTTTTATCGATCGTGCAATTGCAAATTTTCTTTTCCCCCAACATGTATAATAACAAAATAAATTATAAAGAGAAGTGTCTCTGAATTTACACCTACTCCTGAGGAAGACTTGCGCCAGGAACAGCACATGACAATCCCTTACGGAGTTTGTACGCGACAGGCCCTTGAAGAAGACCTGTGAGGAATATCTCTAAAGCGCTTCAATCAAGTCCCAGTGCCTCTGCACAATGATGGACCATTTCTCTCTAACTGTCGACACAACCTCAAAACCATCTTTGTTCACGGTCCTTGGTTACTCCAGAGTCAGAGCAGTCGTTGGCGCCAGTGATTACACACGCTTTAACTGTATGACAAGGAGAAAATGTCAGTTTAGCCTCAACGACCTCCAGGAATGTAGTAAAGTGGCTTGTGAGCGGAGAGTGGACAATGTACTTACCTCTAGCAGGCAGGAACATTAGTGATTGAACTGATTTGCAGATACGAGAAGCCACAAATGGTCAGCAATGTTGAAGGTCCTTGAAAAATTCCGGGGGCAGTACTGATGGAGGAGTCAATGTTGCCACACACTTAAACTGCATCACAAAAAGGCACAGGTAAGTCACATAATCGCAGATTTAGGCATTAAAATTAAATAATTCGACAGATGAGAATGACTGATAGAGTACAGTTGCATGTGAACGAGGTAAGAATACCTTGTGCAGTCGGTATTTCTCTCGAATTGCAGGAAGTGTGCAGTTCTTTGAATTCCGCTGCAAATCATGAATATCTCTCACGCACTTTTCTAATGCAGAAGCCTTGTATCCAGTGTAGTGTTGCAGAGTTGCATCCCATGGGCACGATGACGGATCGAGAGTAAGCCTAGCCATGTACACTGCAGATGCGGCTACCATAGATGGAAGAAACCCTAGCATGCTGTACTCCGTGAGGGTGAGCTCCGCAAGGTAATTCCCGAGGAACTCTAGAACTAGGGTTGAGGCCTTGCAACTAGCTTGAGCAGCTCGGATGAACCGCCTTAGAAAGCTTTTCGTTGTAGGCGTCGTCAGCTCGAACTTCAGCTGACTCAGAACTTTCCTCTCCATCTCTAGAACCTGATCAAACCAGAATTAACAAAACATAAGATTCGGAGAACGAGCAGTGGGTTGCGAACAATAGTTAAAAACAATTCACTCAGACCAAGACAGTGGGAATCTCAATACCTCTTCGCGTTGGTAGGTATTATCCGTAATGTAACAAAATTCCTCAACTCGAGGTGCACATATCTCCTCATATTTAGCGGCAATGAGCATGCACGATACACCCAGCAGTTGCAGCCGTTGCCTCGTGACTGTGTTGCAAGAAAGGAATCGGTCGATGTATGCCACCGTCAAGTAAAGAGTGTCTGGAACCAATTTATACTCCTCCGCAACTTCAACAAGCCAATCGATGAGAATTCCCCTCATACTTGGATTAATGTCTTTCTGCATAGCTTCCATGAAGTCTGTGGTCGGCCTACGTTTGACCTAGAGTCAAAAGAGCAGCCGTGAGTTACGACAACCATTGGAGGGAACCTTTGCTACTGAATATTGAATTCTGGCCAAACCATGATGTAACGACGAGATTCACTCACCTCGGCCATTCGGAGATGCATATAAATATCTGCAGCGTACGCGCTACACATCTGAGGGTCAGAATGGCCCGTGTCTAAGTCTTCGAATGTAAGTCCGTTCGACCATGATGACTTTCCCGAAGAGCTTTCATTATGGATTAGGTCAACATGATTCACAGCACCCTTAGATTCGTTTGAAGAAACGAGGTCTTGCGCACTTCGTTGCTCTACAGATACAAGCCCTGACGGATTAGTCCCGGAGAGAGAGTCCCGATCAGCTTGGGGATCCAGTGGTTGAAAATTCAGGAAGTCCTCTAGAAGTTCAATTTTCTCGAGGCATGATTCGCTCTTCCCGGCACCTAACTGTTCGTCAACTTCCGGAATAACATTTTCATTTTCTTCGACATTTTGCTTCAGTTTCAAATCTTGACGCTTGGACTCGGGCAGATCAACAATCGTGCATCCAGATGCGGCGGCATTGACCTGCTTAGATATATCACTAAGAGGAGCACGTTTTCCGTTCGCCTGCACAACCCGCTTCCTGGGATGCAGGACAGTACTCTTTGCATCATCCACTGCCGATCGCTTAGTCGCTGCCCTCGTGAGTCTCACATGATCCAGCTGTGCAGGTCCTGCGGTAGTAGAAGCCGCCGAGCGCGGACGCAAACGCCTCGACCCCTCCTCCGCCATAGGTGAGATGTGTTCAGTGTGGTTTTCTACTCTCTTGAAGCTCTACGTCACCCTCACAAGTCAACGCACATGACGGGAACCTGTCTCCCTTCAAGACGACACCTCCTCTAGTGAGGGCTGAGAGCCCAAAATTCTACACATGAGCTGCTACCGGCCTACTTTTCCAGCTTTGGCCCCCAGAAATATACACAAGACTTCCCAATCAAGCTCTGCTGCGCCAGCGTCCTTCACTTGCAATCCTCCCTGGCCATGCCGCAGCAGAGCAATGCTGTCATCACATCATCCGCAAAAGCTCGAAGCTCCTGACCAACAACAAAATCCCTCACTTACACCCTATTCCGCAGAACCAGCGACACAACAACACCTCCCGGCAGTCACTCCTAACTCTCCCACCAGATCCACAATTCCACACCCTCGAACGATTCCCAAATCTCTACTCCAATTCCTTTCGACAACTTAACCTCTTCCACCTGAATCAAGGCTTGCTGAGAACTCGCTCTCTCGTCCCCAGAGACCTCACGTCAGGCTAAACTCAACAGAAATTCACACACTGAACTGAGGGGCGAAGCGGGAATCATATACCCTCAGTGCCCCAAACTCAAAATGCCCGCTGCACCATACAGCCGGGCGGGAACGGGACACCCCCTAGTTTTCCCGCTTCCCTCGCTGTGATGACACCAGCGGGCGGGGAACACAAACAGTTCAGGATTTCACATCCTCGCCTTCGTCGTCGTCGTCGTTATCATCGTAAACGTAGTCATCGACATCCTCCTCCTTCTCCTCCTCTTGCCCCAAACCAAACCTGGAAGCAACGCACGGACAGAGATGAAAACTCCACATCCCGCACTTCCAATCCAAGGAAACGACGAACGCAACTCTGACGACGACGACGACCTTCCCTGATGAAGGGATTGACTGGCACCGTAGTTTTGAGAAGAATTACTTTCTATTTTTATTGTTTTTTTAATTATTCTGTTCTCGCGTCTGGATTTTGTGGCTGTAGCGGCAGTCACAATAAAGAGAGAGCGACGATGGATAATTCATCTTGGGAAACGCAGTGGGGGGGACGAGGGTGGGGGTGGTAGGGGTGGGGTGATTCTGTGCCGAGGCCCGTTTGGGCGCGCTCTCCGGGCGGGGGCTTGGTGGAGGGAAACGCCCTCCCGCTGCTCTTTTTGAAAACCCTCTGACCAACCCGCTGCCCCCCTCGCTCCCATTGGCTGCCAGATGGCGATGATCTACGGTGAAGAGCTACGCGTGGGTTAAATTTAGCCGCTTCCGGCAAGAATTGCGGCCCAGGGCAGCCTGGAGTTGCCGTTAACTGCCGCTCGGTGCCGTTGAGGTGTCATTTAACAATCCTCATCAGCTCCTTCAACGTCCACATTTTTTGCTTCGTGCAGCAGCAGCCTATTCTCGTCCCCCGTTGTTGGCTTGTGATAGAGTAGACTCTACCACATGCTTTCCTATCCCATCCATTCATTCCAACACTCCTTGAAAATAGATATCTGTGTGAGTTTGCGTGTGAGAGTGTGTGTGTTTGTGTGTGTGTGTGTGTATATATATATATATATATATATATATGCTCGTCCATGTCTTTTATCATTGGGCTGCATTTCAATGCCACACCCTAATCATCTTTCGATAGAGGTACTAAGCAGATTTCATCTGTATGCTGCTCTCTGTAGATTGGTATGGATTTAGTTTATCCATACATTCGTTTGTTTTCTATATTCTTCTTTGTATGTATGTTTGTTTTTTTGTTTTTTTTTTTAAAGAGAATTAACAGCCATGTGTTTCATTTTACTTCAGGCTAGTAATAATAATCACGGCATCTATCATATGCTGAAGCTGCTGTGTGGTATTAAGTACTTCGGAAAGCTTTAATGTTGATCATTAAATTATAAATGATTTTAAGAAATGTCATTGAACTATTGTACATTTCATGCAACCAAATTTAAAACGTATTACATCAAATTGGAATTATAGTGCAAAATGTTTGAGATGGACAAGTGTGGAAACAGGTAACTGTAACATATAGACAGGGAATTTTTTAAACTTTCAAACTACGCAAATTTTGAAATGTTATTTTTCACCAATTTCGGTTTGGAATGTATGAAATAGGATTCAATGAAACTTTTAACATTTGATATGAGTAAGTTGATTTACTAAGTGCATGTGCACATCGAAAAATATTTATGGTTGTTGTAAAGTAATTTTGTGAAGTGACATTGAGCACTGTAATTTTGTATAATCATTAAAAAAAAAGAAAAAATTATACTTAGTCCTATTTCCATGGTATACTCTTGAAATTACTCTTATATATAATGTAAAATAAGAAGTCCCATACACACCATGCAGGGCATTTAAGAGTACATGTATAGCATTTAAATCAATGTGGCAGAATTTAATACTCAATGCAGTAAAAGTCCTGTACAACATCTACAATATGATGCAACACAATCATCTATATAACATTATAATAAAACAATAGAGTTACAGTAAACTTCTGCATAGGAATACATCAAAGTATTGCTACCACAACTGTTTGGAAGTAAAAGGTCCAAAATGCTATCTTCTGGTAGAGATTAGGGATTAAATACAGAAATATTTTTAATAATGCACACAACTCCAAACTAAAATATATCATGCAGGTGATTGCAGAAGTGCATATTTTGCTCTATCCTACAGCAAACAAACATATTGATTTTATATCAAACTTTTGTCCTAAATCCACTAAAAGACATATGAACAATTGATTTAATATTTACTTAGGTCTTGTGATGTGTGTCATTATCCATGGTTATACAATAGCAACACATTAAATTGTATGAAGATTGAGATCAATACCAGAGATATGGTCACAAAAGAGGACCAATCCAGACTAAATTGGAAGTATGTGCATTATTACATGTGGCAACAAAAGGGAGGGAAAATATGTTACTTTCAAAATTAGTTAAAGAAAAAAGGATCACAGTGTTGCACAGTGACAATGCATATAGAGCTGCAGGCATTCAAACCTCTTATAGCTTTTAAGATAGCTGACTTCATTCCTCTTCCTGCTTCATGGAACCCCCAAGTTTTCCACACCTTTTCCAGCATGCCTGCTCAGAGTATTGTCATTCAAATCTCACACACACATGTACACACTGAATGCCATTATGTATATATTATGGTAGTAATGTATTCAGTAGAGCATTGCTTACAGGGCAAACTCACTGCACAGTCTCATATACCTTGTCAGGCCAAATCCAAGCTCAGAAGTTGTGTGGTAAAGATTGTATAAACATATGGGCAGTAAAAACTGTTTATTATACAAACATATATGTAAGGGCATCTTGTATTGGAGTGAAAGAGTTTGAACAAATGGAGAGAGAGCTGGACAAGGCTATAAGAGAGAGAGAAAGAGAGATAGGTCTTTCTCACAAGTGGGTTCTGCTGTGTTCTGTATCCACACATGATGAGGCCCTCTGTAAGAATCCATAGGAATTTGGGCTGTTGACCGGGTTTAGGGTTTGGTTATTGCCAGCCTTCTTCTTCTTCTTCTTCCCCTCCCATCCTCAATCACATGGGTTAACTAAGTGGGCTTGGCTTTGCTGCCAAGGCCAGGCTCAACCAAACTAAATTCACCCTGGAAAGGCAAGTAGAGAGCAGGGGTGAGAGGTGGGTTTAAGTCATTTCTGAGGTTTAGTTTAGTTTATGTATATATATATATAAATGTGGAGTTTAGTTTATGTATATATATATATATATATATGTGGAGTTTAGATATGGTATATGCCAGTTGGCAAGTGTGGGAACATGACACCTGGAGCTCATTCATTGCTCTTCTTGATTTCAAGGCACCCCACATTTGCTTTGGGGTTTTAATTGGGGTCAGATAAGAATGTGTGATGCAGGGATGATGATATTGCCAATCCTTGCAATCACACACAGCAACCATATGTAGGTGGGTTGTGGTGGAATCATTCATATGGGGTGAAAAGCTGTTTAGGTTTCCAAGTCACATTTGAGTTGGAATCATGGCATGACATGAAATTAAATGGTCCCTGTGTGCTACTCAACTGAAACTCAATGGGGGTAAGAAGGGTATGATAATAATAACAACAAGCTAAAAAAACAAAAAACAGTCCATTCTCCAAATGAGTGATACACAATGCTAATTTGACTTTTGCCTGATTGTGCAGATTCAAAATATATTCATTTGAATTTCAAAGTCAGCCAATCTGATAAGAGTAATCTGGCAATGGATTCAGAACAAACTAATATCTATCCTACAGGGTGATCCATAGCATTGTGCATTTTGTAAAAGTATTTGACATTATGATACAAATATTACAAATGATTAGCTTTTGTATGTATGAACAAGTTTAATGAAAATGCTTTGGAATAACCTACCCTTTCATACTGGGGTCCCAATGTTTTATCCAAATTTGTTGGAAAAGAAATCTTATCCTTCTATGTTTTTTTTTTTTTTTTTTTTTTTTTTTTTCCTCTTTTGTTCTGAATTTCTGGATTTTTATCACATATATATATATATATATATATATACATATTTTTTTGTCTGCAATGTTCTGCCAAAACAAATTTTAGAATAATGTGGGTTCCTTATATAATCCATAACATTACTATGCATTTCAACAAAACCTGGTAGTTCTTTTCCAATTGAGATTGGAGATATGTATATACGTATATATATATATATTCCCCACTCAGTTATAAGATGAGCCAATTTCAATCACATGAGTTGGAGATATGCAATAAACAACAATCCTATTAATTCCTAAAAGCCACAGCTTTCTCATGAAAAAACATTGATGCAAAACAAGGGATTTACTTGAGATCAATTACATATTAAATTCCAGATCATATCTAGTATTATTTCCATTTGAATGATGTGTTTTAAATTGGCTATCATATGAAGATCCAAAAACTAACAACATGATTTGATCTCCATATTATACCATTTCAATGAAACTTTTATTAGAACACCTAGTTTGTACCAAATTCATAGTATTGACTTAACACATAGACATCGTTGTATAGCAGTGGTCAAATTAAACAACAGTTACATACAAAATCCTAAACCAACTCCACATGTTCTCTCACTACACAAGTAGTATCATATGATTGGGGTAATTCCATAAGCTTAACTTTTCTATACTGTTGTCACAATTGAGCAGATAAAAAACCTCAAACAAGATAATTTCAAACCCAAATCCAAGAATTTCATACAAGAGTTTGGCAATCAAGTTTCTGTCATATGCTAACTTAGGGTTTAGATGCCATAATGGCTCAACTCCAGCACTGTTTCTAAGCTTCTAAAGATTTCAAGTTACAAAATTGTGGTTTGATGCTTAAGTACACAATTAGTGGTGTCTTAATGTAAGAGACTACAGGGTGAGCTCAATGTTGATGTGGCCACCTTCAATGTTCATCAAGTTGGGAGGCAATGGGAGCTGCCTTGAGAGCAATGAGCTGTCTGGCTAAAATCTGATTTTGTTCTAATGAAGAGGCTATACCATATGAGGGGGTGGAAGGAGGAGTGACAATAGTGGGGCATTGAATTGACTAATCAAAGTGGCTGCTTGTGTGCACCATAGTGTTGAGTATTAATTCTTTGAACTGCAATCAAGTGCTCCAAGTGGTTTACAATGTTGGGATT